CACCACTGGGTGTAAAAAGTTAGACACATACAAGGTACTCTCTCGTACAGGTAATAGTTTATGCATTTAAGGGACAGAAGAGCGCATTCAGCGTATGCAATCACGTGCTCCATTTCTGGTATTTCTGTTCATGAGCAAAAATTTGCCACCACTTGTGGACAAAGTGAGTGGCTTTACAATGCAAGCTGTATACACAATTGGCAGTAATCATCACATTGCAGTACTTTCTGGACTGACTGCAGAAGCTTTGTGATCGTCTCAGGTACCTGCTGCCTTCTTCCCAGCACAAATTTCCCATCTGCTCCCATAAGGGATTTACGTATTCTCAAGTCTACAACCACCTTCTCTACAGTGTCATCTCAAATCCCAAAGCCGAGAGGAGCTAAATAAGTGACTGCCCATTTCACTTCATCTGAAATCTGGGACACTGAAAAGCATTTTCTCTTACTTAAGACCAATCTATTTGTGGTACGCTTTCCCTTCAGATTGCATTTCACTCCTAACTGTTACTAGTGATTCATTGTGGATGTCTTCTAAAGAACTCATCAGCCCCAGCAGAAGTGAGAACAATGGGGAGAAACCTGGGACAACTGGAGAATCACTACTTCTCATTTTCAGTCCATGTGAACAACCTTTCAAAATTCATATTTTACAAAGTTTAGATGTTTAAAAATGTAGTTTAAAAAAAAAAAAAAGACGACTTCTAAGTAGCTTGAAGTACCTTGACACTGAAATTAACTCATTATGGGGAATTCTTTTTACGTTAATGAGGAACAAAGAGTAAAGGATCAAACACATTGTCAGAATGATGTAGGTGCTTAGGTTCCCACAGCAGTTTGTCATTTGGTAAATGGTCCCCAGTATTAAAAAGCTCCACTCCCCAAGTTTTTGTATTGTCTCCAACAATAAAACGACTACTTTTTTTTTTTTAAGTCAAATAAGAAATGTTTATGTTCTAACAAACCAAATGAATGTATGGTTATTTTAAAAAATATTTTAGGCTTTTTTTTTTTTTTTTAACTACTACAGCTCTAAAAGGCCCGAGTCTTGATGGGTACTCTTTGGTGTTAGAGGTCCACAAAATGCAGAGGAGAAAAACATAACTGCCCTTATGTAATGAGCTGATTAACACAAGTTAAAGCCTAAAGAAATTGAGACCTTTTTGGGTGCCTTCTAATTGTCAGTAAGACAGGACTGTCCTCCATTTGCAAAGTGCGTTTCTATTTTGTAGAAAATGGGAACATAGTTGACTTACGTTCATTTCCTCAGTTTTAGTAAAATTGTTAGAAACAGTTATTTCTTCCTGTGAAAAAGGAATATTTTCTTCAACTTCAGCTGCTTCCTGGTTACATTCTGTGGTTAAATCCATACACTTCTCCTCAAGGCGATTTTCTGAATGATTACTGACAATATCCTCACTGTCAAGAATCCTTTTCACAGCTGGAAGAGATTTATATCATTTTAACTTAACTGCTCTATAAATGACACAGGTTTAAGCAACAGCAAGTAACAGAGGGAGCAGGAGACAACAATGTCATTCTCCATCCTGCCATATATATATTAAGCTTTCTCCAAAAACTAGAAACCAGAACTATCTATCTGGTAAAAGAGGGAGCCCCACAATAAAATAAAATAAAAAAAAAAAGAAGAAGAAAAAGGAGGAAGGGGAAAACCAGCTGGCAAGTCCATAGAGGAAAAAAAACAAGGGAGGAAAGGGTGGCTGGAAAGGCACTGATAACTAGTTATTCTTCACAGCCTCGATACCAAGGATGCACCATCTTTTAACACAGGAACTCAAGCAGCAGAACCCTATCCTGATTTCAGCTAGGATAGTTAGTTTTCTTTCTAGTAGCTGCTGTGTTTGGTATTTGGTATAAGACGACTTGATATTGTATATTGTTTTAGTTGTTGCTGGTAATATTTGTATTAGTCAAGGACTTTTTCAGCTTCCAAGAGAAGCTGAGAAGGGAGCGTAGGCAGGACAAGCTGGTCAGGGGGATATTCCATACCACACACATCACGCTCAGTAGACAAATGGAGGCTGCCCCATGGGCAGGGATCCACGATCGCTGCTCAGGACAGGCTGGGCAACCAATCATTGGGTATTGTATCATTTTATTTTGTACATCCTTTTACCATTACTATTATTATCATTACAATTATTATCATGATGATGACTATTATTATTACTTTCCTCTTCTGTTACTGTTGTACTAAACTGACTTTTTCTCAACCCACGAGGCTTTTTTTCCGTCCCCTCTTCTCCCTACCCCGTTCCGTAGCAAGTGGCTTCGTGGTCCTAGTTGCTGGCTGGGGTTAAACCACAACAAGCCCATAGCGCAGAAATTAGTAGTGGTGTATAGCATTAAGATAAGTACTGATCTCTCCTCCTAACATTTTAAATTTTAAGTTTTCTCAGTATCTTTATCAAGAACAGGAGCATTCGCTATGCATTTGCTGCAAGAACTTTCTTTAAGGAGGGTATTCTCTCTATGGTTTAACAAAAGTTGGCAGTAACATGCTGGTACTACTTCAGTCTGAGACACCTGTAGTGGTATGGCAAACTACACGTTTTACCTCAGGAGTTCAGCTACCTTAACTCTCATAAGAGCTCCAACACACTGTACGTACATTCACTGTCTGCCTCCGGGGATTCAGAAAGCTGTGGATTTGGTGCAACTGGTACGGCTTTTTCTTCTGACGAAGAGGACGTTTGGGATTCCTGGTGGTTTGTTTCACTTCATGAACAGAAAGAGAGAAATTCATCATCAAGCTTCAAAGCAAACCTTGGAAGAGCTTTACAAATCACTTCCTCACTGTAAAATCGTCAAGTTTCAAAACAGAAAAAATGAAGAAAAAATAGAGAAATCCCTCTACCAAAATATCTACATTCAATCTGTGGCTCGTTTCATGCAATGAGTCAAGGACTTCACATTCTTCCCAGCTATCTAACACTAGAAAATAACATAACAACAGAGTTGTATTAGAATAAAATATTCTTTGTCTTCTGTAGAAAGAGTACAACTGCTATGTTGGAGGTTCAGAACAAACCGAACAGAAGTTTGCACCGGTGGGAGTTACCACTTGCAATCAAGGATTATTTCATTACCAATATTCTCTCTTTATCACTAAGCAGTTGCAGCTTTTGAAGTATCTGGTGAGAAAACTGCTTCCCCTTCCATAAACATAGGGATGCCAATTGAGCACACGCAGGAAATAGAAATTAAGTGTATAAAATACTGCCAGAAAGTATTCAGCCCCCAAAATAAACCGCTAACGTTACGGGAACCTCAGGTGTGATTTTTAGCTACATGGTTTTCAGACAAAAGCGGGGCTTAGGTACGTTCACGGTATCCGCTTAGTAACCCTGAAACTGTAAAAAAGTTTATATAGTCTACTGAATGAAGTCTTTATCACTATACTTAGGGGTCTGCAAGGATTTGAGAACAAAGGCTCAAACTGACAGCTAGTCAGTTTGACTGATATGCATGCCAAATTAGTTCTGTTCACAGACAGAAAGGAATAGAAAAGCCATTATATAGAAGAACACAGGAAAGAATCAAGACCAGGTCAAAATCATAGTTTTCAAACACAGCAAAGCCAGCAGTTACATCTTGTGTGAACCCAAAGATGTATCTATTTTGTAAACTTACCCTTCACTTGCAGTCCCCAAAGTAGCAGCCTCAGCGGCTTTGAACACTAATTTACTGTCCTCAGGAAGGGTAGGACATTCAGCATTTGGTTCTTCCACAAATCCTACAAAAACAGACAGATGCATGACTTCCCTGTCGCACTTCACATCGTTTCTTTTCAAATGCTCATATGATTTTGAAGTGAGCTTTCATGTACTTCATCTAGGAAAGTGATCTAACGAAATAATGCTACCCAGACTTCAAATGCACAGAAGGTCTGAATTATTCTTCTTTCCAGTAAAACAAGAACTCTGACACATAATTTCAGTCAAGAAAACAAAATGACCATTGATACTCTGTTTACAAACTAAACTTGGTATGTTACTGACCTAATACACAAAACCTTCAGAAAACATCCCTCCTTCTTAAAATTGGGTAGCAAGTTTTCTGATTTCTCTTTGGATATTTATCTCATTCCAGCAATCCTTCTCTCCACTCTTGACTCCATTTCCCCCCTTCTACAAGAATGCACCAAAGGTCTTTCCCTGTTCTTGTCTCCAGCGACTGACTGGTGGGAGATGCTGAAACCCAACTGCTTGCTATCCTGTTTTGACCTCAACAGGTTCAACTTTAGAAACATCCTCCTTTTCTTCTTTGTTTCTACTCCTCCAGACCCAGCAATTACCTTTGCAGACAAGATGCGGGACTAGGATAACTTTGCCAGCTCAGCTTAAACAAGAGCTATACTGACTGCCCTCTAATGCTTCCAGAGTACTGAAATTGTACAGAACTCTTCGTACCATAGCCCAGCAATGACAAAGTTTTTTTATGATTCTTTTACGATTAGTACCTTATCATTATTTTTAATGAAAAGCACCTTTGATTTCTTGTCCAAAGGCAAGAGAGCTGAAACAGGACAAGCAAATGGTGCAGTCTGTCTTACTAGAAACACTCAGATCTGGACAAGCTATCTCTTTTCCCCATATACATGCAGTCCGTATCCAGGCACTGCAGTAATTTAAAAAGAAAAGGAGCTGAGGAACTTGAATAGCAACAATCACTCTCCAGGATCCTCCAGAATCACCTCAGACTTCAGACTGAATCAGGATGCATATGACGCACTGATACTGGAGTACACACTGCTACAAACTGTTTCAAGACCTCAGACAGAACTCCCACACTCACATCCACGTCCCAGGAAGAGCAAACTTATTTTACAAAGAGTTGAACAGACTGAGCTCTGTTTGTCAAATGCTGACTGTAGCTGCATTTGCACGTCATCTCCCCATTCCTGCATTACTTTCATTCCCACCTCTTCATCACCGCTCACCAGCTAGTGAGCTACATGTCTTCTAATCTGCCAGCAGTCCTGCTCAGATGAACACGTCCTCAGCAGCTGGACTGGCTGGAATGAGTTGAATTACCAAAGACCAACTGAAGTAGGCTTGGAAAAAGCTGCATAAGCTGTTGAGCCAGCAAAATCAGCAAGCACAGCTGTAATAAGCAGATACACAAGCAGATTCACTTCCACAAAAAAACTGTGTAACTGAGTACTAATGAGGTGGTAAAAAAAACACAAAAAACCCAAAAACAAACAAACAAAAAAAACACCAAAAAACCACAAAAAATCCCCCAAAAAAACAACAACAAAAAAAAAGCAACATTGATCTAGTCAAAGCATGCTATACTATATGTAGGCATACTGCAGCCTACAGAAGCACCCCTAAAACATAAAGGAAAGCCTAAACTTTCAATTTGTATCCCTCTCAAAACTCCCATAGATCACTGCTGCCTCTCAGCTGCAGGTACACACAAGAAATGCCAGCCAACAGCAGTATACATTCATAACGTCTAGGGCACCTGAAGAAGAACCCAAAACACAGTGGCCAATTTAAAAGCCTAGGACAAGGAAGCGCCAAGGACACTTGCAAACACTGATCATTAACCGTTACACCCATCAGTAATTTAACATTCTGAAGACATTTGAAAAATTCACAAACTTAGGTTATCATAGAATGAAACACACCAGTTTCTTTTCTCAGTTCCGATGAATCTGGCTGTTCCATCTGGAAAGGTTTATCTTCAACCATTTCACTGTCTTCTTCCTTCTCCGATTCTCGAACATTGGCAGTTTCTTCAGTGGAAGAATCAGCTGGTTTAGCAGCTATAAAGATGACATCATCCTCAAAATCGCTGGGTGATTCTGCATCGTGATACTCCAAAGTAGTTTGGTCTGACCTAGCAGACAAGTTACTATTCTCCTTGCTGGCATCCATTTTCTCCAAACCATCTCCAGCTATGCTTCCTGAAGATTCTTCCATTTCAGCACAATCATCCTCAGGATTGCTCAGAGTAAACTGGGTTGTTTTATCTCTACTTTCAGACCAAGCATCCTCCACCACTCCATGATCATGCTCAGATGAAGGTCCAGACAGGGCTTTATCATCTTCTGTAACCTTTTTTTTTTAAAACAAAAACAAAAACAAAACCACACACAAAAATTTCACTATCAATACGAGGCATATGCTTTTTGTAAAAACAAGGAAAAAACCCCAAACATATAGCATTTATATTTACGTCATCTCAAGGCTGCTCATTGGGTTCACTACTGTGCTTTCAAGAAGAGGGAGCTTTGTGTACCTAAAAACATAATTCAAGATTTCTCTTTTTTTATGCTTGCCTCTTCAACTTGTACACACTACTGAAATATTTTAGTGTTCACTACATCTGGATCATGGAACAAGTAAATTGATCTAGCCACAATGCAATATTAGTAAGAACTTCATTTAGGAAAGAGAGCCTCTTCTTACAATTGAGTAGCTCTTTATACCAGGCAATAAAAGGTATAATAAAAACAGATTATGACAATTTGTTAAAACACATACGGAAACATACACGTAGACACTAGCACATGCCCCTGTTCTGCCCCTGAGTTTGGTACGTTACTGCAGCAACTGCATGATGAGCTGAATCAGGGAATCCAAGTGAGAGAACAAAAGGAGGAAGAGAAGGGGGCAACTTTCAGATGGACCAGCTTCCATTGACAATTATAAAATGCTGTCGCTGGTGCAAGGCAAAAAGCAAAATAGAGAACTTTAGGGCTGGAGAAGAGACAGCTCTACTCGTCTCTTCATTCAGAGTCTATTTTTGCCATAGCTTAAGCAAATTCAGCCTTGCAAAAAGGGAGACTAAAAGTAAATACAGCTTATGACATTTGTTGCTTTCAGAGATAGTTAATCACAAAGCTTAACAAACCCAAACAACTGGCTCAATCTATATTGCCTTCCTGCCATACTACCACTTGGTAAGGTACAGTGGGAAGCCTGACTAGAAATTTGGAACACTCACAGCTCCTAACAACACTGGAGTAAAAACCATCATGTTCCGGCAGGCACGTGAAGTTACAAAAGGTCTAACGTAACCTTTTACAAGCAAATTCAAGTTGGCCATTCTGATTTGCAATTCCAGTTCTCAATAGAAGGAGTTTGGACAACTTCATGAAAATCCAAAAATCCAAAAATCCAAGTCCACTCACAGTCGATAAAGCCTTTAACTGGAAAAATCACTAACTACAGCCCAGCTTACCCCAACAGTCTATTTTGCATTCGAGTTCTCTTCCCTGAAAGATATTCTAGGTTCCTTTGTTCGCAGAGGAGGAGTAACTGATCGTCCCGGAGATGCAGAGGGAGTTGCTAGGGGTGTGGTGCGAAGGCTGGATCTGAGAATCGACCGAGGAGTAAACCCAGCAAAAGTCGAAGCAGTTGTGGCCAAAACTTTAGCTCTCTATGAAAAGAAATAAAACCATTTGATTTAAAAGCAGTTAAATCTCAAAAACAGAAGGCTTCCCCTGTCAAAAGGATTACTTCAAATTACAAACAGAGTTTGTACCAGCAAAGAGGACAAAGTTTTGCCTCTGCGCTGCTCTTTTACCAAAGGTACAAAAACCATGAAATGCAAAAATCAAGGTTTAGAATCGGTTTTGGGGCTTTTTTTCTTTTTAGTAATGCCAGCATAAAATGCTCCTTTTCAAATTAATTTCCCAAAGAAACAAGGATATGGCATCTTGTTGTAGGCAATGTTATCTCCCGCCCCAGTACTTTTAGCAGTTTCTACATTACTCTTCTACAAAGCATACAACTTGAAATGTTACCCTGGATACAGTGACTGAAAACACTGCCACGCAAAACGACCATCAGCAAAGCAAAAGCGATAGCTTATGTTTTCACTAATTAACCAATCTGTGCACTAGGCTAAGTTAGGTGGC